TGACAATGTAGGTTGCTTGAGAATAACGCCTTACTACTATCATATTCAATTGGCATTACTATTTAATCCCAGTTGTTATTAAACAACGTAATATTTGTTAGGTCCAGTGCAAGACACGAAGCTATGAAATCTTAAGTTTTTGTACAATATTGGATGGTGTTTATGTCGTACAAACCACATACAATTCATATAAAGTCGAACATTTGATGGACTATAAATAGGTCTGTAACCATAAAATACGACTTAAATTGATAAACATTCACACTTTTAGTAGAGAAAAATGAACGCAAGTTTCAGAACATTGTTACGCACCAAAAATTTAGAGCGAAACGACAAAAACACAAGGATGTAAATGAACAAATGAGTAGTCACATTATTAATCGCATTTTGATGAATATTTAACTTAAACTTACCTAAAACGAGCGTTGCAGATGCGTAATCCAGTTCATCTTCCGACTGCACAGTTGCAGAAAAGGTATCATCTAGTGCGTCTGACAGGTTCTGAAAACAAGACATCATGCTTTGCAGATTCTGCTTTATCTAGTCTTTTGTATGCACGGCTACGTCACCTAGACAATACTCAGAAGAACAACCCACTCCCAAAAATTCAACCGGACCAGTGACTCGATCTACTAGTTTCGGATAATACGATTTTTACTTCATTCCAATTGGCCTCCAATTTACTGACCTTTTATTTCATTCTGACCAATCAGATCTACCTGCCTTTCATACGTCAATAAATAAACCAGCCAATTACAATTACATATTTGGCATTGACCTTAATGTTGTCAGGTGGCTCATTTGGCTGGCGATTAGTGGCCTTGAAAGGCGAAACGCCGCACATTACAATAACTAAGCTTTCCATTCGGTTTACGTACCGTGCTTTACCCAATGATTTATCAGGCTTCGACGACGTCCAGTCGTAGAAAATTTGTCACCATTTCTGAACTTGGTTTTATAATATCAGATTATCTCTCGTACTCAGAAGTGTTAGTGGTAATGCTTATAAGCATTATATATATAAGGAAATAATGTCAGAAATTAGTTCTATACACTACTAATTATCCACAAATGTCGACCCATAATTAATGTAATGTAGAAGAACAAGTGCACACATATTTCTTCCCTTGATAACGAAGTTCCATTCAACGGATCTACCTAAAAACTGCCTTCTAAATACATAGCTGTAATCAATTAATCTATATTTCGGACATGATTGTCGTATCCTGGATCCAAAAAACTAGTGCTCATTCTCAGGGTTTATGTATCTGGTTGTGATACATTCAACAAGCAGATAGACGTATAGTAGGAATATCCTTACGCTTACCATCTAGATAATTTTGTGAACTGTACTCTGAAGTGGGAACTGTACATAACATCAAATTAGTCGACAAGAAGTCCCTTTTATTGGTACACCTCAACATATCAGTGTATTTATTTGGCTCCTCTGCAAATCTGAGTGGCTCAACTTCGATATTCGAGTGAGATACTAGCTCATGGAGAAAGTCATTCTGTCATCTACAACATTGAACCAGGCACATATGCATTAGCATAACAAGATTAACATCAAATTCATAGAAGCAGTTACTTCAATGGTAGTAAGAAAAGATATCCTATTAATATATGATACAGGGAGAAAGAATTAGTTCGTATAGAGAAAGGTATAAATTAAGTTTAATCTCACGGTTCAAGGGAGGACAAAGAGTGTATAAACCTACACCATTGTGATCGATTCTGAACCATGTCACCTAGAGTCTCCAACCATTGGTTACGATAGTCACGCGGACCACAACCAAGTAGTCCGCATCTACCAACATGACTCGGACTAAAAGTTATTGACTTTATGAATTGATACCACATTTTAGCTTGGCTGCTGCTTCCTTACAACCGTCTCTAACATTATTTACCATCGCGTGTTGCGATAATCAGTGGTCGGGCATAGGTAATACGTGGCCAAGCCACTTCAGTCAGTGTAGATTTACAACCTTATCAACTGACTTATCATCATTCCCTAATACTCCACGTCTGACCTCACTATTACTTACCCGGTGATACCAGCAATATTTCTAAGACATAAGGGTATTTTCTACTCTTAATGGCCACATTTCGTAGTCGTAAAGTAGAACAAAACGAACTACTGCGCAGTATACTCATCAGTATACTCATTGATAGACGGATATCTCGCCTAAGCCAAAAGTGACGTAAGTCGGTAAAAGGCAAACGAGCCTTTCGAATTTGTACAGAGATTTTGTCAGACACCAAACCATTAGTGCTGATCAGACTTTCAAGATAAGTTAAGCTGTCGATGCGTTCGACCACTTCATTTCCTAAACCTAGTTCAGGCGTTGACTCAGGCCAGTCCCAAAGCAACAATTTTCATTTAGAGAGGGAGAAACACAATCTAAACATCCTGAAATTGTTGCTCAGCGCTATCAAAATACTCTTCATTTTATCAGCGTCTTCACCAAACATAACTGTCATAGTCAGTAAGTCAACCTCCTGGTAAGAGGTCAATTCCTGAAAATTCAGTCAATGAGAACATTATTTCCAGTAGTAGGCTTATGATGAAAGTGAGCAAAGTGGAGATAGTGGACAGCTTTTCAGAATACCACTTGAGGTTACAAAACTGGTTGACAGTTCGCCATAATCTCTAACCCGAGAGAAAGTGTTCGACTAAAGAGCACTGAACATGTTTATGTACTTCTGGAACAAATTCAGAGAAGATCAACTAAGAGAGCACTTCAACCGAAAACAGATTTTACGAGGTTCTTTTAGAAGGGTTGGAACTTTAACATAGACAGTACAGAAGAATTAGCGTTAATATGATCATTACTTACCATGTTTCTATCTTCATGCTAATAGATTGTATTTTTTATGTAGGGCACACTGTGCAATCTGAGCTTATGGTTTCCCCTGATTTCTTGTTTTACGTCGATGAAAGCGTTTTTTTAACTCCTTCCAACCACTATTTTTCAAAAATGCCGGCAAAATTTATTGAGCTTCAAGTTATTGCACATTTCAGAATTTGGGAAAGTACAAATACACAGATAAATGTAGTCAGGGGATTTTATAATAAATCTCATCAGTATTTGCAAATTTTTACCCTTCAGACAAAAATCTGGTTTCTTTAAAAAATTACTTTTTGTTAAAAATCATTAACAGATGACTATGCCTATATGTGTTTTAAGTTTCTAAAGTTCATTGCCATTCATTTATTTGTTTACACAGACTTTCTATTAAAGTTTTGATAATGTGAACTCTCATACATCTCATATCTATATTGTGTTAAATTATTCAGTAAGTAATTGAAGATTTGTTTCAACAATGGTACTGAATAGAACAAATTAAATCATACCAGCTACATAGCATAATTAGATTTGAATACTTCTGAGTTAAACAAACCAATGTGTGCAGATAACACGAAGATATATTTAATAGCTAAGCACAAGCTAATAAGCTTTTTATCTGATTCGAAATTTTATTAAACATTGAATAATTTGAGAATCGAGAAACTAACTGTTCATACGAGAACAATAAAGTATTTAGGTTCCATATCAAGGAATAGCATTAAGTTAATCAAAAACTGAAAACCAGAAAGCACTGGACATCCATACCAGGCGTGAGTGAAACTTAACCAGTAAGACTTAATAATTAGATAACTGACTAAGGTTAGAAGTGTTAACCACTAGGTGACAACTCAGTAGTTTGGAGGTTAAGACCTGAAACTCCTGTATTTTATTCGGTATGAGGCCGTACGATAGTGTGAAATACCTAGTGAATTTTGTGTCCGAATTTCAATGAATGTAGGGTTAAAAGGTTAGATGATCGGATATTAAAACAAAATGATAATTAATAGTATTTCAGATTTTTCTAAAATTTAATCAAATATTCTTGAGAAAATCGATTGACTTATCGATCAAATACAGAACATGTGATTTAGGCAGTAAATAATTGGTCAAAGTGAGTAGTTTGATGAGTAAGTAACATGTAATGATGACTTCGTTAGTTTGATTAAATTTGATTAATCAAAGATCTAGAGTCAAGTAACTGCACTATTTCACAGTTTGCAACCATTTACATTAAACTCTTCGATACCCAGCTAACTAGCCTGATTTCTGTATACAAACCAATATCCTATTCACTAATACTATATTTCATATCAGGGTCTTAAGTATAAGGCTTACAGAAGTTTGGTTTCAACTTCATAAAATCCTGTCTTACCGATTATCTTCAAGTTAAACTGATGTTTTATGGGTATATGATACGGAGTCAACATGATAGAAACATTTTAATGATTACAATATTTTAAGTAAGTGTCTCAGTATAATGGATCGTACAAATACTTGAAGAAAATATTTTGAACGGTAGTAGTTAAAATGATCTTAAATTCCTTACAATACCAATTCGAATATAACTGTCATGTTATGATAATTAGGAGTATTTGAACTGTAGTACAAACTAAGAATCCCAGAAATTACGCAATTGGATCAAGAAGTACAAGATAAGCACGAACGAATGTACTGTATTTGGAATTTGAAATCAAGCATTCAACAAGTACAAAGGAATCATTAGTTCATACAAAAACCACATCTGCCACAGCTTAAATTAGAGTCTAAATATCTGTAATCAATTATACGTCTTCTTCTCAAGTTCATCCTGTATCAGTCCGACATTGTATTGGATAAAGACTCTGCATTATCAAGAATGTATTCATCAGTATTGGAATTAACAACCGAAATCGGAACAGACTCACCTGCTTCCTGGGTTTGTATACAATCGCCATGTCGGTTGTGTACCGAAACCACTAATATCTGGAATTTGAACCACAGATTTTCCAACATTATCCTCCCCCACGAAATAATGTTGGATTTTTATATCCCCAAGTTATGAACGATGTGGCTTCATTTAAAACATATTTCTCACATTGACTAGAGTAAACACGAGAAGTGACTTCATCATAAGGATATGAAATGATCCTAATTGTAATCAAAATCGAGCTCATTTAGTACTCGTGCTTCGCACTGAACAAGTTTCCCACAAGAAACAAATGCATTATGAGGACAAATAATATTTGATAGAACACCAAGACTTGAGTCTTCTGAAATAGTTTCCTCAAATTTATTAAGAATGTCATTGCAGAGTAAAGGATAGGATCATTAGAAAAATCAGCATCTATCAAAACTACATCAGGTTTTCGATCATGATTAGGCTCATTCAACATGTTTTCGTCAGATTTATAAGAAATCTCGTCAGAAATATGTGAATCATTAGGAAAAACCAAATCTGGTACAATAAGATGAGAAATCTGACAAGTCGATTGATTAGAAACTGTTATCTCACAAGGATTCCAAGTTTCATTTAACTCTGGTTTGCTATCTGACTCTATATTGCTCTTCGAAGTCGTGGATAAATAAAAATGATCGTTAGAAACACCCAACTTAATAGAATCACAAATACAAATTTTAGCATTAGTTGTAACGGAATGAACCGTAGTATGACAAACTGACTGAATGTGTCCAATCTCGCCATATTTAGAGCATTGAGAATTTCGAAATACACATGAATTAAAAGAGTGGAACCTGTCACAGGACAAACATTGATCAAACTTTTGCCCATCTTCGTGAATTGCATCGCAACTCCTCAATGAATTATCGGCATTACCTTGAGTATGCACTGGATTGCAATGACGTAGTGATGTAGTATAATCTTTGATGTCCTGATGAATCATTTTGCGAAATCGTTCTCCTTTACCACATTCAAAATTTGTATACTTCACATAGTCTAGCAGTAGTTCCTTGAGAGTTGCATAAGGAAGATTAATAGGCTTTCCTGGTAAAGCCAGAGTTCTTAGTAAGCTGTAAGCTCCTTTTCAGATGAATGTGGGGAAATGTGCCACAATATTAACATAATCAGCATCTTCCTTGTTCATAGTCCAGATTTCGAACCTTTCCAAGTAATCTGTAAAAGCATCAGAATCTGAATATATGTCCGACCATACCACCACAGACTCTATCGCGATGCCAAATGTGATAATTAGGAATATTTGAATTATAGTACAAACTAAGAATCCTAGAAATAACGCAATCGGATCAAGAAGTACTAGATAAGCACGAACGAATGTACTGTATTTATAATTCGAAATCAAGCATTAATTCATACAAACACCACACATGTATAATTGGCAAATTCAAACTACAACAAATCCGTTATTGATTGTTATCATGGTTGCAACATATTTAAACGCAGAAAAAAATACAAATAGATTAAATCATCTAACGTTTTTTTAATAGTCATATTTACTTGAATAGTTTCCTTGTAGTCAACAAACCTATCAGTAAAAGTATTTCATTAAGAGAAATATTAATTAAGTTAAAATAACAACCTAATTCTCTTTCTACCAGAACATTGATTTCCTAATCATTTCATATCTTAGTAACACAAAAAATCTCTTTAAAATAATCAATTTCTGACAAAGCTACTAATTAATAAAAATATCGATCAATTTTTTACGTGAATTTTATATTTCCTAATACAAATTGGATCTGAACTATTTTTTCAAAAAAATATCTGACTTAGTTTAGATAATAATATAATTCAATGAAAAGGTAATAATATCTACATCATTATGAATTATAGTTATATATTCAAAGAAACAACACCAAGTGAATTTAAAACTTCACCCCATTACACAAGAAAAAACCTATCAGGACTCAGTAACTAAGTGGATAACGCAATGGTGTTTGAATCGAACGGTACTGGATTAGAGTCTAAGAGTAAACATCAACTCTGATATGCAGGCACATCCATCTGACGAGCTCAAAATAAGAAGAAACGTGCATCCGAGGTTCTACTTCTTGTCACTATATATCTTTGCTTATAATGCTTGTGAATTAAGGCAATACCGAGGCAATACGCACAGTATGGACATATGCCGATAAGAGACTGATCAATTGCAGTGCTAAACATCAATGGGGAGATTCAAGTAAACAATACTAAGTAGCTATATATTGATCTAAAATAAACAGTCAAAGTGAAAAGAACTCATTAACTGAGAAATAACAAATTTCTTTGAGATCGTAGAATCTTAGTGTCAATAGCTCTTTGGTAAACTTGTCTTTCATTATAACATAAAACGATTCAATTGAAGTCTTTCTAAGTTTTTAAAAATCTTTCTTTGAGTATACAGTAAGTAATAAGCATACAATTTTTGTGTAATCTATGCTCCCAAAAATTCCGCCTGTAGTTCTTCTAGGACTACTGCCGATCCTAAGTCCGGGTAACGAAGGAGGATTGACCATATGGTTAGCATTGCCATCCCGTAGAAAACAACCTTGCTAAAAAAACGCTAACCAGAAGAAACAAAATGCTCCTGGAGATTTTATGGTCAGTTTGACACTAAAAACAATTGTCTAATAATTTGTTGGTTGTGTTTTGTACATACAGTCATTCAAGATTAATAACAATTCAATATTCTATAGTAAATTATTGAGAAATGTTATCATTCTAAATTGACACTTCTTATCTTAAAATAAATAATCGAATAAATTATCTAACAGTTAAACGAATCTGATTTCTACAACATTTATGTTAATGATATTCGATCTCATGTAAATAGTGAATTTATCAACTAAAATCATTTTCATAAGTCACGTAAATGTTTATCATTTAACCAAAAAAATTAGTCAAGCATAAATTTTAAATTTTCTGCTGCTCAATTGACTAAAGTTGAGATGTGAGGTGATAGTTGGAGGTAATAGGCAGCCGGAACAGCTCAATCTTTGAGTCTCTGACTATGAGGCTGAATGGTACAAAATCGAATCCTCATGCGAGCATCAGTTCCCTCGTGATTACAGGTACACGTTGCCAATGAATATAATATGGAACGAAACCTAGGTTAAACAAGGTTCCCTGTAAACTACTTTCAGCAACTACCTTACATCCCATCATAGTACTCGAAACTACGAGTCACTTGGACTAGTGTCCACATTGAAACTTGATCAGTGGAATCCAATCAGCACTAAGAAGGACCTGATGTACAATCATGTCAGTCACTATTCAGTGATCAATCGAATGTAGGCTGAATACTCCGCACCACAAAAGGAGTATAGAAGTTCTTTCTACGCTGTAATAGTTATCTATTTAGTTCTTTCTTCAACACCAATTTGACATGACTTTCTTGAAAGAGAACATGAGGATTTTCCAAAGTGTTCACGTATTCCTTTATAATGATTATTGTGTTCACTCGTATATCTGAGTCAATATGTATATTAATGAAACATCCATTCGTAATAGACTGTTACTATTGAGGTATTAATTAACTAATTCAATATAAGATAATTGAATATGTTCAACTGAATAATAACTGAATCCTTTCATCTTCGGTCCTGTAATTATCTGACTTCACAAATAAGATATAGCTGTAATTCTGAACAAATTCATGAGAGTCGTAAACGTTTTTCATTTATAGTAAATACTTACGAATCTTTTAGGCACTGCCAACTAACTCGCTTTTTGTTTTGATTACCTATTATTATTGATGAATTTATACATTAAATTTAGTCATCTGTTCGATTAACAAATAATACTTTGACATAAATTACTTATTTAACATTTAACGAGCTTCATCTAACTTTGATATGAAGCTGAATAACAGATTTGTAGTGTTTGTTAACTGTGATGAATGTATAATAAGATATAAAGTGATACTTAATCAATCAAATGATGACCTACATTTGGAATTATTTGAAAAAAAATACCACGGAACAAATGTTTCGTAAATAATCTTTAAAATATAAAAACGATTTACTAGGGGATATCTAGATACCCATGTTCCTTATTTCTTCTTTTCTCTTCTCATTTCATGATTACGTTCAGTATTTATAAAGACGATACATTTACTGGTTTAATAATAAGTAGTATGATTTAAACATGATCAAATATTGTATTCTTCTAAAGTTTTATTATAACATATACCGTGCTTGATTTAACAATTTACGGCTATGATTGCTTATAAGAACAGTTGTGACCTATTTAACTTTGAAATACTTAGCAACAATAAAATTTACAGTTTTCTTGAATGCTATCCAGCTGTAATTCTAAACAATTTCATATACGTTCATCGTTTAAAACCGCTGTCAAATTGATTACTATTGATAACAGAAGCCAGATACAATTACTTTTTAGGCAAAGGAATTTAAGAGACAATAAAGAAACAACTAAAACTCGAGACCGAGAGAAAAAGTGCATATTAACCAGTTCACATAACAAACAAACATAGAATGCACTATTCAAGTGTTCCATTGACTGCTCAGGCGTGTATGAAATCAGACTATAATATAAAGAAGTCAAAATAGTTTACATAACTTAATAACTATTCAGAGTTTAATAAATCCTTCAAAGTTATACAAAATGAGGCTCCTACATGAGAATGTAAATAAAACCATAGAGCTGCTAACATCAACATATTTGTGTATGACTATTTAAAATATGGTTTGGCTCTTATTTATATAACAATTATTATTTCTAGAACTTTATAAATGTTGCATTTTGTCATCAAACGTTATCAGACATTTTATTTATATACATTACTAAGTCCTTGTTGCATACATGATAAAAATCCAGTTTCACTAGTTTCATTATATTATAGATTAATTTTCACTCAATAAACAAGGATATTTGTTAACTAATCTTAAGATTTTACCACCTAACTAATAACAGAGTTGCTCATCTACATTTTGTGAAATATTTTGGGCATCTTATGACTGATGTCATCATACGAACCACTGAAGAAAAGAATCTATACGAAATAAAATCTATTAAAATTCTGACATTTTATAAAACGAGTACTGAACAAACACATAGAGAATAAACTATATATCAGACGTTTTGAGATATTAACGTCTTACACGTATATAATAGTCATCATTATTTATTATCTAGCTGTTTTTACTCTGTTAAGGGTGATTCATCATACACTTTAATGGATGTTATATAATATTTTAAAGAAACATATACACCATTTTAATGTCAAGACAGAGTATTGTATTAATTTGGAGTATATCATAATTACCATCCATTTTGTTGTTTATTATTTCGTAATTAAGTATGTTTCGCATGTTTCATTTGATAATAAATCCTTTCATTTCTGTATTCATTCCTTTCCAACACTCAGATTTACGTTGAAAGCAATTGAAATTTTGCACATTTTCTTAACATGGTCGGTTAACATGACATTGTTTGTATACACTCTAAGTGGATAAAATCTTTCGATCTGAGATTATCATGCCATTTGATCTGATTTCTCTAAGTGTATGCTTCAAACACTTAACCAAATCAACTATTCAATGAGCGAATAAAAAGGCTACATAGGAAGTTGTACTACCTTAAAACTAAATGGATATTATTGATGACTCTTGTGACAATACTGATCTAAATAGCAACATATAGGCATTTCTTTGGCTAGATTAAAGAAATCCGCCTACATTTGAATTCCATTTGTTATGTAGCCTTGAGGGATCATACGATTAGTTTTTTTTATATTCACATATCTATGATTATCCAATCATAAACTGAAAGCAGTTCGAGTAACTTAACCGCTAATATTTGAAATTATCTTTAACTCTAAAATATCACTAAAGAAGAACACTGATATGAATCGGTTTATGTGAGAAATTCTACATGAGGGTTGATTGGCCATTTAATAATTATTTGTCGTCATGAGGACAGCCCACGGATGAACTCGAGGAAGCTCTAAGACGCCCAAAATTAGTTGAAAATATTCTATCCAATCATTTTTTGGATGAATAATACAGAATCTCTACGTGTCGCTTCCCTATTGGACAAATGCTAAAAACACCTGTATGCGAATTGAATGACCATAATTGAAGCTAAACCACAATGGAAAACCTCGAAGCACTAGACAGCCATTTTGTCCTATTGTGGAACTCCTCAGCATTGTGCATCCACAACCCCACCTCACAGCATGCAAGGAGGCCCACAATACAACAAAACGGCCGTCCAGTACTTACAGGTTTTCCATGGTGGTCTAAATTCAATTGATTCATGATCTCAACTATTGAAATTACTACAATCTCCACAAAACACATTCTGATAGTTTTTTTGTTTTATTTTCATTAACGTACATTGTTTTTACTGTTAAAATGAACTCAGAGTATATTTAATAGTTTTGTTATGAAAAATCTATAGTGTGATTGTTTTTGTTTTTTTGAAAAAGAGAAGAAAAAGCTTTTAATGAATTCACTTCTATTCAGTCTCATTAGACATATTTGCATAGTTTCACTTAAATGCATGTTCAGTCTTTCATTATCATTCCTGATTACTTATATCCACTTAATAAATATTAGATTATTTGGTGAGACTATAATATATGGACGGTCTTTGAGTGATGCTGAAGTGACCTTGAGAGCGTACACCTAATAACTAGGACCGAATGAGAGTTATAAATTAGTGTTAGGAATTAGAATTATGAATTGCAATTGATGATTAAGATTAAGGACTATATTTGAGGTTTTCATCACTAATTGACATCGATTATAATGTCAATACTGTATTTAGCCAAATTTTATGACTGAATTTCGCTCCAAAAATCCGAGACCTGTTATCTTATATCTGATTGATTCGTCCATAAATTATAGTCTCGTCGATGATTTTTATATTTCATTGATATTACATTTAAACTTAATATTTATTATTATTATTATTATTATTATTATTATTATTATTATTATTATTATTATTATTATTATTATGAATGACCCTTTATGACTGATTATTTTAATTCATGATAAATGGATCAGACACTTATAGAGTTTCATTAATTAATTTTCATTATAAGCTAATTATATAAACATGTTTTTAATTAAATGATTGGTTTCGTTACTAATGATCTATTATAATTTTCACTGTTTTATGTCAAATTCTACTAATACATTCTAATGTATAGTATTTCTAGTTAGTTAAATCTGACGCAAACCTTCACATTTTTATTCTTCTTTACTAGTTAAGTTCATCATTTGAACATATATGTATTTCCATGTGATCGGTAATATTTACAAGAAACTTCTCTGGGATTTAAAAAGAGTTCCTAAGTTTAATTTTTTGATTGTGAATGCAGACAATAGTTCGAAATAAGATGAGACATGCATATTAGATCTCATTAATAACAACTATTTAAAGTAGAATTAATTTCTTAACACAGGAAAGATGAAGGCATATGTTAAAGGAACCTATACATGACAATATAAACTGGTTAAATTCAGTCCTTAATATGAACAACAGAAAAAACAAATTCTTATAATCAATAATCAACTAACTTATCATATGGATTATTTTATCATTTTATGTCAAGTTAGAAATCAAAAAAAGTTAGCCTATGAAATAAAAAAAAAATTAAAGGTCCTAAAACCGTTGTTTTTAAGCTTAATCAACTATGATGTTCATTATCTCAACGAATAACTAAAATTTTACTTACTCAGTTGCTGACTGATTAGTGATCGATTGCCTATGCAAATTTACCTGTTTTTCAAATCGCCAATCAGAACATCAAAAATATCGACTATTTTCTACGTCTTGTATGTATTTGAATCATTTGGACTTTGAATACTCAAATGATATGATAAATTAAATTCAAAACCATAACATATCATTGTAGTGAAGGGAACACGAGTGAGGATAACCGGACTGTATTTAGTACAAAATTACCGAGTTACTTGGTAAAATAGAAAAAACCATATAGTAAATCGTTAATTTGCAAAATATTATTCCATCATATCAAATTGGACTTTTGCCATTGTAAACATCTAATCCATTGTCTCATATTTCATTGTTCATGCGGTTTCTTACAAATTCCATTGTTTTTTTGCTCTTTCTTTCTTGATCTTCCCCCATCTTCTGCTCCCAGACATTATGTTCTTTAACTCGCGTTATATACTACTTATATCAATATAAGTAGCACGCGCCACATCATTACTATTAAAAATCACATTAGCTACATACTTAGAACGTTTATAATACAAAGCTTTGTAACTCGACTATAGGTTAGTGGTCGGCTATTATTTATCAACGGTAGATATTACAACAGTTAGTAAGTGAAATGAAATCTCAAAATCAGGTTAACATAAAAATACCATAAACCAATTATTTAATTAATATATATAAGGTATACAAAGTGATTTATCCTCAAAATAATATTTCAAGTTTGATAATTTACTATCTGGATTTCAGTCTAACAGCCGTTAATAGTAAGAGTTTATATTTCTCTCATTATTGATGTTAAGGACTGAAATTGATCAGTCTCTATTGCCATATGATACATTCAAATAGAATGAAATATACGTCCAGAATTCTACTGTTGGACACTATCCAACTTTAATGAATACTATCAATAGTTGGTATTGTTTACTTCTATACGGATGAACCATTAATTAGTTTCAGGTATATTTTCGAACATCCAATTTACACAACAAACTGACACTGTTAAATGGTAAACATTTGTTAGAAAACTAGAAAAGTGAAAGAAATTGATATAAAAGAAATAAGTAGCTATGACAATCAACTCATAGTTTCATTGGTTAATAAAAAACTTATAAAAACTCTTATTCCCTAATTATTTATTTGTTAAACAATATCTAATTATATTTGTTCGTTTAACATTATTTTCTCAATATAAATATATTATTTTATCAAAAAAGGAATCTATTCTACTGGACTATCATCTTAACTTTCGGATATCAATTCACTGATGGCCTTAAGTTAATGCCTCGATTTCATGAAATATTATCACTTACTAAATTTGTTTCATCTGGTTGGAGTTTTCTTAGCAAGATTTTATTTCTACGGGATGGGGTTGCAGACCCGTAATCCAACCCTTCTCCTTTAATCTGGCTTGAGACCGGTAGTAACTCTAGAGGATCTACAGGCGAAGTTGTTGAAATATTATCACTTGGATCTACATTATCTACTGATCAATATTTAAATTCATCATTTCAACAGTTTCAGATTATCCTCATAAAATGCATTAAATCCTTACTTTGCATAATACAAATAAACAGTTTTTGTAGAACATTCTTAAACCTCGATATTTGAAAATAATAAAATATGACTATCTTACAATTTCAGACATAAGATTCGCATTTCTTTAAAAAAAATGAATACCTCATCGTTTCTACCAGCATGGATACAAACAATATATATATATGTATGCATATTATCTCCCTAGTTATGTCATTATATAGAAGAAAAATACAGATTTTCATTTCTTTGAAAGAAATGATAAACAATATAAATCAAAGTTAGTATATGATGCAAACCGAAAGAAGAAAACTATTTTCATCCATTTTTTTTCTCTCTTTCTAATGTCTGTCTATAAAAGATTAGTCATCTATTAGCTAGGAAAAAGTGCAATGAATATGCCTATAAGTGCTTTTGATATATATGTATTTCACTTTAACCTATTATAAAAAGATGAAATGAAATAAGATGAGATGGTAGATTAAATCCTTCTCATTTCAAATATCAATGCCAAATAATTCTGTTTTTTTCGAAAAGAAAAAAATAGACTGTTAATAAGATTTACGAGAATTTCATATCAAGATAGTAAAGGTTTCAATATCAAGATTCTTCTTTTAAATGCTTGAAGAGTTTCTATTTGTTTTTCCTTATTCATTTACTTCTAATTCTTAACCTTAATCATCAATTGCAATTCATAATTCTAATTCCTCACACTAATTTATAACTCTCATTCGGTCCTAGTTATTAGGTGTACGCTCTCAAGGTCACTTCAGCATCACTCAAAGACCGTCCATATATTATAGTCTCACCAAATAATCTAATATTTATTAAGTGGATATAAGTAATCAGGAATGATAATGAAAGACTGAACATGCATTTAAGTGAAACTATGCAAATATGTCTAATGAGACTGAATAGAAGTGAATTCATTAAAAGCTTTTTCTTCTCTTTTTCAAAAAAACAAAAACAATCACACTATAGATTTTTCATAACAAAACTATTAAATATACTCTGAGTTCATTTTAACAGTAAAAACAATGTACGTTAATGAAAATAAAACAAAAAAACTATCAGAATGTGTTTTGTGGAGATTGTAGTAATTTCAATAGTTGAGATCATGAATCAATTGAATTTAGACCACCATGGAAAACCTGTAAGTACTGGACGGCCGTTTTGTTGTATTGTGGGCCTCCTTGCATGCTGTGAGGTGGGGTTGTGGATGCACAATGCTGAGGAGTTCCACAATAGGACAAAATGGCTGTCTAGTGCTTCGAGGTTTTCCATTGTGGTTTAGCTTCAATTATGGTCATTCAATTCGCATACAGGTGTTTTTAGCATTTGTCCAATAGGGAAGCGACACGTAGAGATTCTGTATTATTCATCCAAAAAATGATTGGATAGAATATTTTCAACTAATTTTGAGCGTCTTAGAGCTTCCTCGAGTTCATCCGTGGGCTGTCCTCATGACGACAAATAATTATTAAATGGCCAATCAACCCTCATGTAGAATTTCTCACATAAACCGATTCATATCAGTGTTCTTCTTTAGTGATATTTTAGAGTTAAAGATAATTTCAAATATTAGAGGTTAAGTTACTCGAACTGCTTTCAGTTTATGATTGGATAATCATAGATATGTGAATATAAAAAAAACTAATCGTATGATCCCTCAAGGCTACATAACAAATGGAATTCAAATGTAGGCGGATTTCTTTAATCTAGCCAAAGAAATGCCTATATGTTGCTATTTAGATCAGTATTGTCACAAGAGTCATCAATAATATCCATTTAGTTTTAAGGTAGTACAACTTCCTATGTAGCCTTTTTATTCGCTCATTGAATAGTTGATTTGGTTAAGTGTTTGAAGCATACACTTAGAGAAATCAGATCAAATGGCATGATAATCTCAGATCGAAAGATTTTATCCACTTAGAGTGTATACAAACAATGTCATGTTAACCGACCATGTTAAGAAAATGTGCAAAATTTCAATTGCTTTCAACGTAAATCTGAGTGTTGGAAAGGAATGAATACAGAAATGAAAGGATTTATTATCAAATGAAACATGCGAAACATACTTAATTACGAAATAATAAACAACAAAATGGATGGTAATTATGATATACTCCAAATTAATACAATACTCTGTCTTGACATTAAAATGGTGTATATGTTTCTTTAAAATATTATATAACATCCATTAAAGTGTATGACGAATCACCCTTAACAGATTTAAAACGGTTAGATAATTTTTCGTGTTCATTGTACATAATGTAAAGAAATCATTATGCATTTGAGTAAATACTAACTGGTTATTACTTTCATAAAATATTTGCATAACTTTATTTTATATCATTTGTTTAAATAAATCATTAAATTTACATTTACATATTTATATCATTAATTATTCTTGAGTAATTAAATGACTTATGATCTCAATCATTGATGTTAGTATAATATCTACAAAATCCCTCTCTGATTATAATTATCGTATACTCATTATAAACTGTTTCCAAGATTTATTTTCAGGAGTTCTAGTGAGAAGCAGTCACATGTGGAGTTAGACTTGGTCTTTTGTGAGATAGTAAATCACTCAAGACAATGCTGGACAGTGGCACAATTTCATGGATTGGTTGAAGTTAGACATTAATAACGTTGGGTACCGGCTCAATGGTTTGGCGGTTAAGGATTCGCTCACGCGACTGATAGGTCATGGATTCGAATCTCGCTAAACGGTATCGTGGATGCGCACTGCTGAGGAGTCCAATACTAGGATGAAACGTCCGTCTAGTGCTTCCAGATTCTCCATGACAGTCTAGCTTCAATTGACTTATGATCTCAACCACTGAAATTACTATAATATCCACAAATTCCTTCGGATATGAATTAAGAGAATTGACAAATTCACTGTTAAAAGATCAATATTTGAATGAATATTATCCTTTTAATATGATGGTGATCTTGAATCGAATAAAATCACTGTTATTTCAATACATGACGCTCAAAATATGATACTAAAATTCATGGATGACTTTTGAGAAGAGCTAAATTAACCTTACGAATATCCACCTACTAACTTAAACTTAAATGAGGCTTATAAACCAGCGTGAGGAATTAGATTAAGGTTTTCATCAGGAACTGACATCAGCTATAACGACAAATGTCTATTTAACCAAATGAATGAATTTCTAAGACCTGTTATCTTATATCTGATTGGTTCGTCTACAGATTATAGTCTCGTCATTGGTTTCATATCACTAATCAAAGTAAGCTCGAGTATTAGTAAAGATCAGACAGCACTAAACGAATTTTTCGTTTTAGTTTCCTGAATTACAGAAATATCCATCCACAACTTGGCCTAGAAATGAAATTAGGACCTTCCAGTCTTGATGGCGATCGACACATGTTAGGTGGTTTGACTGGAAAACTCAATCACTAGAGTGATTTCACATTGTGTACACTATTTCTTGATATTAGATGATTAGAAATAGCCT